AAGGCCGTGTCACACTGGCGTTTTTTTCGTGCAACTTGTGTCGCGCAAAAAAATGTTGAAGTTGCACGATGCCATGTCACACTAGCAAAATTCCGTTGCAACTTAGCTCGCACAAAAAAATGTTCAAGTTGCACGCGTAAATTGAAAATGTACGATCATCTCACTTTCTGTCTCGTTTTCTTCTTCAAAATTATCGCTTTCGCCAAAGATGGCGTCGGGCATCTTTGTTGATTATTACAACAAGTGACAACAGGACAGATTCTCGCTTTATTATGGGTTCGTGCGCCTAATTGAAAAATTTGGAAGTTGAAAGAGACCATGTCACACACGCGTTTTTCCGAAAAATGTTGAAAAAAGTAGAAGCCAGTTCTACTTTTCTCTCAACAAAAAAATGAAATGTTCAAGTTGCATGAGGGGGTGTCACACGTGAAAAAACGCTCGTGCAACTTCAACATTTTTTTGTGCGACAGAAGTTGCACGAAAAAAACGCCAGTGTGACATGGCCTTTAGTCCTCGTTAAGTTTCTTCAATTCTTCGAAGTTGGGCAAACTGGTCATGCATGGAAAGTCCGAATGTTGGACGCTACTAGTACTGTTTCTTTTTCAATAATGAAAATATTCAGTCAACAAACTGGGGTTTTTTGAGTCCAAACTGCTTTTTTAGAATCAAGTTGGTAAGAGATTTTAATGTTAATACTAAAAAGTTTATCATTATCATCATTATTACGAATTCAGATTCTTTCCAGCATAAGACAGAACGTTACTYTTTGAAGATGGTTTTCGAAGAGTCATGTGTACTTGCCAACAAATGACCATCCCACACCCCTGGATCACTCGTTTCGGATCAACAGTAAACAAGAACATCCTGAAAACTTTTTTACACAGCGATTTTTGTTGCTATTTTTGTGGTTATTTTGACCCTATGGAGTAATGTTAAAGAATCAACTTGTAAAGTTTTATTCGTTGCACTGAGATGAGCCTCTCAGAACGATAAGACAAAATCAAGAATATCTTTGAAAATCGCATGAGAAATAGCCGGAAAAAACGCCATTGTAAACGGGGCCTCAGAATCGTGAATGAAATTTCGAATGATCAAATTTGATCAGCTAAATCAGTCATGTCATTTTAGAAATTATTCAACAGTTCAGCCAGGTAATTTAATGCTCCTGTAAATCTGATATCGTCTCAATACAATCAAACTGAATATACACACGCACATGGTTCTAAAAGTAGCAACACGCGACGATAAAAGCGTTGAGATGCTATAGCTATTCACGTGTGGTTGTCAATGACAGGGTACAACGAGGTGTTTTGGGATGATGGATCAGAATTGCTTTGGGGATCAAGGATCAAATTGGCGTTAATCTGTTATTTTTATGATGCAACAGTTCGAGCATCTGAGCAGCTTTTTGGGGYGGGAATCTAGGATAAAGAGCCTCCCAGTCAGCCCTAGAAAATTTCCCTTAACGACTTTAACAATTGGATCGGTATTAAACATTTTGAAGTTAAACAATCCCCCAGACGATATTATCAAACGGTATATTCAAGCAGTAGGGTGCGAGTGGTCGGTTAAGGCCCGTTTATACTTGCGATTTTTGTAGCTTGATTAACGTGAGACATCGCCACTCTCAATCGCAACTCAAATCGCACGTGTAAACATTAAAGTAAACAGACCTGCGATTGCTGTGGCGATAGAAAATCGCCGCAAAGTCGCAGCTAATGAATTTCAAGCATGTTTGAAACTCAAGGATGGTTGCGCGACAATCGCCGCGACTATTGTGCTGTAAAAAGGCTTAACGCTACGCTATGCTATTCACGACGGCTTTTCATACTCAAGGTTCAGCGACCACGAACAAAGCATTGGTCCGTTAGTATGCACACTGTACCTTGATGCCTCGATTCAATGCTAAGTAACTAGTAAATTTCGAAATTGTAAATTAGGCATGAAAGGCCATGTTTGGTTTGTAATAAAATTATTGTATTGTATTGTATTAAACTGAGTATGGAATACCATGAATGTGCGGTGTGTCTTGCTGCTTCTCTCAAGAAAATTATTCCATTTTATTTTATCATATGCAGTTTTTTTTCTTATATTTTATTTTGTTTCTGCACGTAATYATATATGTATTGTACTTGCGCGGGAATTTGCCATTTGTCCCACAGGTTTTTCCAAAATAAATTATATAGATGCAGAGTCTTTAATGAAAAAGCATTATAAAAACCTCGTGTTCACTTTCATCTGTACAAGTTTTAAAACAAGAAAACGTGAGTTACGCAAAAATACAAATGTGTTTTATTTCTTGTTAAATTTGAAGTATTTTACAATTTGTCCGTTGTAAACAACATTTTGCATGATTTAGAAATTCAATACAAAAAGCCAAGGACAGACTTCTCGATTATAATTTTRAACGCATTTATTAAGCTTTGATAGATGAGAGCATATGTATACTGTAAAGATATTGTGCATTCTAGATTATGGAAACATTATCAGTAGAGATTGAGCATTTCCCATTCGATATTTTTTCATTGATTCCCATTCAACTTTGACGAGTCGATTTCAAGTTTAATGCTCATTTCGCTGGCCGAGCGATGGAACTTTTGGTCAATGTCCACCTTTTGATAGAGGTCGTCGATTTGCTGACGGAAGTGTTTGAGAATGGAAGGTCTTTTTGCCTTGAAGGTGGGAGTGAGTAGTCCATTGTCAACGCTGAGCGGCTCGTCTTGCAAATAGATTCCTTTTGGCTGAAGGGAAAAGTTATRAATAATTTTATTTGCGATTGTTAATTGGCAAAGCAAAATATTAATGAACATTAAAATGAAGTAAAAAAAAAACTCGTACAACAAAACTAGCCTATTATAAAAAGTATATATTTTAAAAAGTAGTTGTGCTAGTCATATAGGCGCAAAAGAAAATAATAACTTAAAACATACTAAGTTGTATTAGTGCGATATCTATTTACGTGTTTTGTGAATCTACTCAAAACTTTTGTAACACTTTGCAGTATTTACTACTAAATATACTGCTAACAATAGACAACAATAGAATTCATAATCATAATCATAATCATAATCATGTAAGCTTCTATAGCGCTTATAAAGCCTTCTCTAATCGCTTTAAATAAAAGGTAAAAATTATTAAATAAAAAGTTTAAGTAGAAATTGACAAGAAATAGCAGAATTTAGTTGCATTTAAGGACCTATAATCTCCTCTAATGACTCAGCGAGATGCATCGTGAGATTGGCCAAAGCACAAACCAAATGCAGTCAAAAGTATGAGAACAAATCCGATAACAAGCAATTTGCATCCAATATTATTGTCAAAGACATGAGATATATTTGTGCATTAAGTTCATACGTCACATGCAAGGAGTTTTTAGACTCCAAGTATTAATATTTCCCAGATTGATGCACCTATTGACAATTATTCGCAGGTATTCATATTGGCGATATCATCGCGTCGTTTTAGCAAAAAGGCACGGTTACTTGGTTACTTTGAAGATGTCGCAGGGAACGACATATTCGGTACACGCTCGGGCGATAATTTCAAGTACATAGTAAGTTAAAATCATTAATTGTTCGCTAAAATTACCTTTTCAAATGATGCCAATTGACCCTCTTTGCACTTCTGTATAATATCATTAAAAATTATACCGTTGATTACCTGTAGAAATAAAAATGTGCAGTGACGTCATTTCCTGAACAAAGCATGATGGGTAATCCTAGCACTACAYAGTGTAGATTAGACAATAGAAAACAGAGTAATTGGCATAAATCAGWACAAATTTAGCAATATTTATATTTTTACTTACTTTATTTTAATGTTTGAATACTAAACGAAGTGATAAATGTCATTATTGAAGATAAAAAAGGTTACTATATAATAATGTCAGCTGGTTACAATGGGTTTTTTTTAAAGTACCTCATTCCTGCAAAGAGCAGCTCTGTTTCCTGCAATGTTTTCTTTTTTGGCCAATTGTTGCAGCGCTTCGTCATCTGGTACGACTATTGCAACAACGTATGACTAAAAACAACAAACAATTGATCATTAAATTGCTTTGGTCACATGTTTTTTGTCGTCTTTGGAAGTTTCACTGACATGGAATTCATAGTTCCGACAAATCAAACGCGTCATTCGCACGCGCGAGATTTGCCAATTAGAATAGAGGACACGTAATGGCAGCCATGTTGTCACACAAAAAATGTAAACAATGTCGAATCGGAGGGCGAAGTTGAGATGGTTTTCAGGTGTTGCTGGGGCACTTGTAAAGCAGATGAGCGCTACACAGCCAGGTTGAATGAAGGACGATTCATTCTGTTCACCAAGTCAAAAACTAATCTAGAAAAATGCTTGAAATGGATCCGACGATGTGCGGACAAAAGCACGAAGTACTACATGTTAACGCATAATAACTAAATTCTTTCTCTAGGAGTTTCTCCAAAAGACTTTTAACATTTAAAAATGTTTTTAACAAAGCCGCATGACGGGAATTGCAGTCCTCGAGTAATATCTCCCTTCTAAAAGGCGTTTTTATGTTTCTTTTAAAAATACGGTACAAATACTTCAGATATTGCTTAGAAAAAGAAAACACTGCTTAGGACGACTGTTGGATCGCCATAAAAAAGTACGAGGACTACAACTATCATCATTCTTTGCTACACAAAATGGCGTCGCGGCACATCGCCTATTAAAGAATTCATGATGAGTCAGATAGCTAAAGAACTAGCATTTTCAGATATAGTTCAAATACCTTTAATCCCTCTCCGTGGATGAAGATCTGCTCGACATAAAGACTTCGTACACAAACCAGTTCAATTTTCTCTGGAGCTACGTATTCTCCCTATGTMGAGGACGTGACACATTAGTCAGGTGACTCAAAGTACTAGCGTGACTTTAATTAAGCACAATATACCGTCTTTAAACAGATTTATAGAACGTGRTATTGAGACCAACCTGTGAGAGCTTGAAAATATGTTTGCTGCGATCGATGATTTTGAATGTGCCATTCTGTAAAGAAGAATGTCATCAAACGCCACGTTAAATTAAATTAATTAGTTGTGTTTTAGTCATAATCTTCCTGATGTCCGTTTTTAGGCACAGGAATCCCAAAACTAAATCTATGAGGCTTCGTAAGGAGAACTGTATGCGTGAAGTACTATCTGTTAGGCTTCTTACCACACTTGTATAAATTCTCGCGCGCTGATTGGCTGATAAGGACATACACACTGTGCTGACACCATCACGCGCGTCTAGCGCGCGCTCAATTGACAGAAAAGAATGAGTTTTGCTAATTTTTAGACTTGACTGTACTCGTGGGTCCACTTGAGTTTTGAGCATTTTATGACATCAAGAATGTGTCAATAATAGGACATACTAGCCTCCTCCGCAGGCAACTCTACTCGCTTTTGGCTTTTTGGGCTTCCTGTGGCGAAAAAAGGCTTTTGAGGGGGACTGGAGAGAGAGAAATTTCTTGCCGGGGACCCAGTCCACTCTCCTCAGGATAACAAAGGAAGACCAAAGAGGAAGATACAAGGGTTGCATGCGGAGGAGGCTAAGGACATACAACGCGCAATTTCTTAAATGTGTCAACTTGAGAGAGAGAGAGAGAGAGTGTGAGAGATGCCTGCGGAGGAGGCTAAGGACATACAACGCGCAATTTCTTAAATGTGTCAACTTTGACCAAGAATGCTGGATAAGCACAAGGCCTATCAAGAGCATCCGTGCTTCGTGTGTAGTCTTATGCTCTTCTGCTTAAAAAAACTTACTTCTAGCAATTCACCGACATCACCCGTGTGTAGCCAGCCATCTTTGTCGATAGTTTCGGCCGTCTTTTCTGGATCTTTTAAATACCCTTTGAAAACATTAGGACCCTTGATTGCAATCTTAAAATACAGAAGAAAAAAAGAATTACTTTGCTATTTCAACAACATTGGTGTAATAGAAATGGCTATAATAGCGGCGATGGTGATGGAAATTTCATAGGCAAGGACGTGGCAATGGTTGCCATAGAATCGATGCTAGCGCATTTGATGATTGGTTGAGAGACTCGGCAATGGCTGTGGATACGGTGAACACAACAGTTGCTTCGTACCTATATTCTATCACTAATGCATGTCAGTMCATATGAATCATAATATTTATCTCTACCTCCCCTTTGCCGTCCTTGGCATAGTAGTTCTTCTCTGGRACATCGAACAGCTTTATCCAATTACATGCCATCGGTGGTCCCACGTGACCTAGAAGCGCATAGCATTTAGTTGTGAATAGGCGATATGCATTATGGCGTCATTTACTACAACTACCAGAATGCTTTGCCAACTTTCTTTTGTGATGCAATTAGTGCCAATTGTTTTATTAATCTCCAAGGGGATTAAAAATCTGAATAACAATGAAAAATGCGCAAGGCTCTCTGGTAGTTGTCGTAAAGTTACGTCATAATGCAAACGGCCTATTCATGATCAAAGTTGTTCTATACTGAGGTTTCATCAGCTTGGTCAAATCTACTTAATCTTCGCTTTAAAAACCTATGAAGTTAAACCTGGAGTAACGCTAATCGGGATCGTAACCCGGTCGGTTGTACGAAGTAGAAAGGTCTGCCGTACGACTTYCAGATGYGCAGGCAYACGGCGCTTATYTGCACATAGAAGKTTCTCATGTCCCAATTRTGTGAAGAAGAACTTAAAAAAATCTTTGAAAGGCTCAAAGAAATTTTTGAAGGACGCACATTAAGATTCGAACCAGGGCTATGCATTGCATAACCCTATATTTGCCCTAAACCTAACCATGAMGCCATCAGATCAATTTTCTTGAGTGAAYGTGAAGTCRTTCGAAARACTCTAGTCGTACGAAAGGTTGATAAAGTTGTCCACTCCATAGACTTTGTATGGACTTTATCCGCTGAATAAGACCTTATCTGAGGGAGAGAGCTATTCGCCGTTCCTATAACCGGCCCCAGTAGCACGATGTGGTTCATGCATGAAAATCATTCTTTTGACGATATGTCGCTTTCCCATGAAAAGCTCGAGACACATGATGGTATAGACCCAAGCGGCTTAACGCGTAGCTATAAACGTTGTATTTTYATTTTACAGTTAAATTCGTAGAAAGTTCTTTTTCCCAGAGTTCTTAGTATTATTACCTGCCGTCAGGTCTTGAGGGGACTGGAGACAACAAGCTGTCGAACATTCCGTCTGACCATAGCCTTCTACAATCTAATAATACAAAGTAGATAAAGATTATGCTAAATAAGTAGATTTAAAAGGATTTGGTAACTGACCCTTTGT